TTATTTTATTTTATTTTATTTTATTTTATTTTATTTTATTTTATTTTTGTGTTTTGGGTCAGGGTTACTCTGTAGTCTAGGCTGGCCTGGAAATCTTGTCAATCCTTAGGTTCTAAAGCAGTTTCCATGCTCAGCCTTCTGAGCAGCTGGGATCGCATCTTCCCGGCAGCTTTGAAACCTCAGCTGTGAGCTTGCTGTGCTTTCCAGCAATGGCTACTACAGCCACCATTCTTCCTTTTCTGCTTCCACAGGTTTTCTTTTTCTTTTCATTTTTTCATTTTTTCTTTTTTTGTTTTTCGAGACAGGGTTTCTCTGTGTACCCTTGGCTGTCCTGGAACTCACTCTGTAGACCAGGCTGGCCTCGAATTCAGAAATCCATCTGCCTCTGCCTCCCAAGTGCTGGGATTAAAGGCGTGCGCCACCACCGCCCGGCCTGGGCTTTTCTTTTTGTTTATTGGCACCTAGCTGCATCAGTCACCATCCATCCCTACATGCAGGGGTCTGGTGTGCCCGCCCCAGCCCACCAGGTCTCTGAGCTGTTGGCAGCTGCTGCAGGATACACCCGAGGGACTGTGGGGCGAGAGTCCCCTTGGTGGGTGTTGACTGTCAGCGCGGTGCTGGGAAGAACTTGCCTCAATTTGGGATCCTCTAGGGGCAGACCCCAAGACAGGAATCCAAAGTAGTCACAGGTCGGTGACTCATGAACCATGAGAAGGCCCAGATCCGCAGGGCCACAGGGCGATCTTAGGGATGTGGTTGCCATGGCAGTGTGGAGGCAAGGCCAGGTATCCACATCCCCCTCCTCTGCTAAGAGCAGCCCCAGGATGGAGCCCAAAGTCTGTTTCCTTCACCAGCCCGTTTGTTGATCGGCAGTTTTGTTCCCTTGGTATTTAACTTTTGCAGTTCTATGTAAGTTCTGAATTTTAACCCCTGCCTGAAGGATGGCTGGATTCTCTCCCATGCTGTGGGCTGTTACACAGGCAGGTGAGATGAGGGAGTACTCGCCTTCCACCATGTGGGTCCTGGGATCGAATTCAGGTTCTCAGGCTTGGCAGAAGGAGCACTCTCCTGCTAAGCCATCTCACCGGTCCCAAACGGTAAGTCTGGTTTGACCAAAGCCCTGGATGTAAACACTTCTTTTAAAGTTACAATTCATACGCGAAGCTCAGGTTCCCCAAGCTGTTGCCGTATTTGATAACCAATGACTCTGAGCAGAGGTGGGTCTCTGATGGTATCTGGGACGCACAGAACGAATGTATCTGACGGGCTGGGAAGTTCTGATTCACCAGGCTCTCTAACAAATGGCTTTGGGGAGTCCCACAGAAGGAATTTAACCCATGAGAACCCCTTAGGTCCTGTCCGACCTCCCTCTGTCTCTTTTCAGGGGATCGGGACCGGTTTGCCCCACGCGCCCACAGACTCATCCACAGGAAATGGTGAGTGGCCTCAGGCTGGTCTTTATGTCCACTCAGGCGATGAGACGATGGGGAGCGCGAGCCAAAAGTCCTCCGTCTCACTGCTCCCATGAGCACCGCGAGTAGCCAATCGGCTCTCAGCTCAGTGCACACCCAAAGACAACAGCTTCCGATTGGCTGATCGAGGTCCAATCAGCGGGTCGAGCGGGAAGCTGTTGGGAAGCAGCGCAACCCTCCAGCCTTAGCGAGGATCTTGGACCTCGCCTGGCTTTGGTCCGACCTGGCTGTAGAGCACATGCCCAGCACAGTGACCTGATCATGACAGATCAGGTCAGCCCAGAGTCCGCACAGGTGACCTCGGAGCTCACCTGTGAGTGCCCGGAGCCCCGAGGCTGTCCAGTCCAGCGGTAGCTCATTGGCGACCTACTCTTTCCATCCCTGGAAATGTCAGGAGCAGGCCTTCAGGCATGGCTGTATCCAGGTGTGCACGGACTGTGGTCCTCGTCCCGGCTGGCTTCCCTCCAGCCCTCACCTTTCCTTTGTGCGGGTTTCTCTTCCAGGCCAGGTGACCACTCAGACCTCTTGTGGCAACTAGGGTAGCTCCTTCAGTAAAGAAGGAGACCAACTGCTCTCGCTAGTTCCAGCAGGCAGCTCCAAGGGTTATGATGCTGTAGTGACCAATCCTGGAGCCCAGTTTGACCTCAACTCCAGGCTGGGCTACTGTGGGTAGGCCGGATGTTGTGCCAGTCAGCCCTCTGTGTCTTATTTTCAGTTATCAGTCCCAAGAACTGAGTTCAAAGGTCTGCAGCACACCAGGCACGCTCCTGTAATCCCGGCACTTGGGAGACAGAAGCAGGAGGATTGCTGTGGGTTACACAGTGAAATCCTGCCTCAACAAAACACCAAAGCCGATGATAATGGTTGGGATCATTGTATAAAACCACTCGACGGTGGCAGTGATTTCTGACATGAAGCAAGCTGACACCCACTGTGGAAACTCAGTTTTGCCTGGCATTTGGTGTCTGCATGCCAGAGACTCTCTCGGCCAATATCCTGGCAGTGTGTGGCTGGGATCCAGGAAGAGTAACTGTCCCTCTGAGCACACTGTCTTGTTGTGTCTCTCCTCCCCCACTCTGTTCCCCTTTATTTTGCTGCACCCCCTGTTCTGTTCCCTGTGCCCCTATGACTTTGTCCTCTCTGAGGCAAAGTCACCAGCTCTACTGTGTTTTGGTGACAGTTTTGACATGATTTCTCTCTTATTGTAGTAAGCCTGTGTATACCCAGCAAAGGCTCACAGGGGTCAGTGGAGCCCTGGGAGGTTCAGGCCTTAGGACCCTCCCAAGAGCCAAGCCCGGCTTTAGCTGGGGTGTATTGAAACAGGTTGGCATGGAGACCCACATCAGTTGGGAAGTTATCACATGTGTGAGCCCTGCCCTTCTGTCTCGCTGAAACACTTCCTGGGCTCAGAAGGACAACCTCTCCATCCTGAACGTAGTGCCCAATGGCCACCGGTGCCCAGCCTGCAGTTTGCACAGAGCTCAGAACATTCACAGCTCTGTTTGTCTTTTTTTAGGAAGGGTTCGTTTCAGACCTTTGGAAAGGATGTGTGCATCACGGGTCAGTCGGTGAGGAAATGCCCTCAGCCTCTTGTCCCTCCTATGGGTGAGAGGAGAGAGAGGAGGGTCTCAGGCTGGGCCCTGTCCAGAGGCACGTGGTTGTCTCTGTCCCCACATCTCTGTGCAGTCTCACATCTTCCCTGTTAGTCCCTCCTGAGACCAGGAGCCCCAGGAAATCCAGGAGTCGTCCACAGACAGACTTGCTCACACTGAGTGGCCAGGATTCCCCACAACCTAGCTTGCAGACTTAATGCTGGCAAACAGCCATGTAGCCACAGCCTCAACCTGAGTCACAGGCAGACCTGGGTACCTGTCCCTTCCCTTGGGTGCTGCCCCCCCACTTCTGTCACAAGTGTCTTTCACACTTAGTTCTGTCCCGTCTGAGTGTTTCTCGGGTGTACCCCACTAAATTCTGTCCCCTGTGTGTCTTGCTCAGGTGTACCCTAGCCTCCGCACTGTCCCCCAGGAGTGCTTGTGTTGCCAATGCTATGCCAAGTTTGGGGGCCACCTGCCTGTGCCCCGGGCTGATGCGCTGCTGCCCTACTGGGTGCCTCTGTCCCTGAGACCACGAAAGCAGGTGAGTGTGTGACTTAGTAAGTTGTCACTTAGGGCCAGGACACCTGTCCCGGTTCAGAGTCCATCGGAGTCACAGGCATTCAATGACTGAAGTTTCTGGGACACAGCTTTGGTTTTATTGCTTGCTTGCTTGCTTGCTTGATTTTCATATTGGGGACTGAACAAACTAGGCAAATGCTCTCCACTGAGTGACAGTCCCTGTCCACTTTCCTCCTTCCTTCTCTCGACCCCCTTTGCTTCTTTTAAAGCGTGTGTATGTGTGTGTGTACAGTATGTGTGTACAGTATATGTGGGTAGTGTACATTATATGTGTGTGTGCAGTATGCATGCGTATATGCAGTGTGTGTGTGCAGTATGCATGTGTATATGCAGTGTTTGTGTGTGTGCAAGTGCAGTGCGTATGTATAGTGTATGTGTGTGTGTGCGTGTGTGTGCAATATATGTGTGTGTGCACGAGTGCAGTGTGTGCATGCAGTGTACGTGTGTGTGTGCATGTGCACATGCACTGTATTTGTTGTCTGCTTGTTTGTGTGTGTTGGGGGGAACCACATGCACCCACACAGATAGATTTGAAGGCCAGAGTGGGGTGTCAGATGTCTTCTGCCTTATTCCCTTGAATCAGTCCCTCCCTGAGCCTGAAGCTTGCTGTTTCTGCTAGGCTAGCTGTCCACAAGCTCCTGGGACCTGCCCGTCTCCACCCCCAATGCTGGGCTTACAGTCACAGACAGCCATGCCCGTCTCCACCCCCAATGCTGGGCCTACAGTCACAGACAGCCATGCCCATCTCCACCCCCAGTGCTGGGCTTACAGTCACAGACAGCCATGCCGGTCTCCACCCCCATTGCTGGGCTTACAGTCACAGACAGCCATGCCTGTCTTCATGAGGGTGTTGTGGATCCAAACTCAGGTCCTCTGGGGTGCACAGTAGGTGTTCTCACCTGACAAGCCAGCTCCCAGCTCTCCTCCTCCTCCTCCTCCTCCTCCTCCTCCTCCTCTTCTTCCTCCTCTTCTTCTTCCTTCTCTTTTTCTTCCTCTTCCTCTTCTATACATTTTTTGGTGCATGTGTGCATGTATGTGTGTCTGTATGTATACATGTGTGTGTGTGTGTATACATGTGGTACCATGTATACATATGGCATAGTTGTGGCAATCAGACCACCACATTTGGGGTTGGTTCTCTCCCTCTATCCTGTGAGTACCGGGGATTCAAACTCATGTCAAAAGGCTTTGTGGCTGTGTACCCTTACCTGCTAAACCATCTCTTTGGCTTGCAGAGGTCTTTTGAGATTCACTCATATGATGTGTGTGTTAAGTCTGGAGTGTTCTCCCATCTCCTCTGTACCTACCTCTATCCCATGGGGATCATGGTCACCGGGAGCAGCTCACCGAGTGACATGTCCTTGATACCCATGGATCAGCCCACATCCTCCTCCTCCAGGGCACCAGGAACTCAGAAAGAGCCACACAGGGGCAGTTACCTCTGCCCTTGCCACAGGCTCCTGGACAGTTCATTTACCATCGACAATGTGCCAAGGCAGTTCTTTGGTATGTGAGGTCGAGGCCAGCTTGGTCTACATCGTGAGTTCCAGTTCAGTCAGGGCTACATAGAAAGATCCTGTCTCAAAGAACCAAAATAAAATAAAATAAAATAAAATAAAATAAAATAAAATAAAATAAAATA